TTAATTATATCAAACACAATGAATTGTAAATGCTTTGATAAGAAATTATCAATAAACAATATAAAACACACAAAACCTTGTAAACTCAAGTGTAAACAGCAAGGAAATAAAATTCAGATATCAGAAATTTTCAAATAAAAAGACGATTTAAAATTTTTATGGAATCCAGAGGAATGACCAGCGTTGTTATTTCTTTGACATCCGTGTACCTAACAGTTATAGGTACAAAAAACTGTGAACAAAAACGCGTCTAGCAAATATTTTTATTACGATGCACCGATTCGCTTATTCTATACAGTGTTCAATTTTTGCGGACTTCCCCGAAGATGAAACGATTTAGGGTTATTCCATATCCAACTTTAATTAACAATTTGTTTTCCCCGCACATTCTATTTATACATTTAATTGAAATAATTTTAAATCTGTCTATAATCAATCTTTTATCTTAACAGATCGTGTAAAAGAAGCCAAAAAAATCGTAAAGTAATGAAAGAGCTAGAATAACACGTTTGTCAACGCGTAAATTACAGTAAAATTGTAACACATTCCATATTACTGTTATCTCTTTTGAGAGAATGAGAGAGATATCAATAATGTTGCGATACAAGTTCTGACAATGGAGACTCACTGGAACATAGCACAAAATATTATAGGATTTATTATCTGTAAGCATAAAGATGACTAAGTCGGGAGTTAGCGTATGTATAGCAACAGGACACAGGCCCCGGTCTTCCTCGTCCCCACCACACTATCTGTACCCTAAAATTACATTGAAATAGAACCAAAAATAGTTCCATTTTATAACATTTTAGTATCAACGCAATTTTTATGGTAGCTGGGATATTTCTTTATAGAAAAAAAACTTTTGTTTTGAGTTCTTTATTTTATTTCTAACAATATAAACCGCTACGACTTAGGGTCCTTCAAGAAGCGAGCTTATCACCACCTCAAAGGCCGGCAATCTGCGGTTCCTCTGGTATTGCTGATGTTCATGGGCGTCGTTGAACACTTCGGTGTTCCCGCTGCTCGTTTGCCCCCTTCTGTTATAAAAAAAAATGATTTGTAGATTACATAGACAAAATTGTTTAAGCATTGAGTCTAAGAGAAACAGGTAAAAAGTTATTAATAGATTTTTATTCGTACCTAGTATCTGCTATATAGAGTTTGTTTAATATAAATACATATTCATCATCAGTTCACTACACGTCCCCACCGAGGGGCACGGAGCCTACCCTAAGTTAAGGGTGATTAGGCCATAGTCAACCACGCTGGCCAAGTGCGGGTTGGTCGACTTCACACATATCTTTGAATTTCTTCTCAGATATGTGCAGGTTGCATCACGATGTTTTCCTTCACCGTAAGAATGTCGGATAAATGTACATATCAGAATCGAAAAACACATTGGTACATGGCGGGATTCGAACCCAGGACCTGCAGATTGCAAGTCAAGTGCTTGACCCCGGAGCCACCGACTCCTCCAGAATACATATTATGATTATTATAAAAATATAGAAAAGTAAATGCTTGACTACCGGTCGCATGCGACTCTGTGTGTTCTTCCAGACTAAGCCCTATATGTGTGTATAATTTCATTAAAACCCTTTAAACCCTCCCGGAGATAGCTTCAAACATCCATCTAAACTTGCATAATATTAGTAATATTTAATTAATTGCAAATTCATTTACTATCGCACGTGTATGTAAATAGTGAAATCGATTTGACCGTGTCATAAAGGTGCGTTCACATGGCTTCTTACAATTACGTTGTACTTCGTAATATAACTGTTTCCGTTACACACGTCTACTGTGTACAGTTGCTACTTTCTAATACAATAAATCTGTAAGGTTACGTTTCATTCCGTTGTTGGTATTCCTGGATCGTGTGTAATAAGTCCCTTGATTCATAAAGTCACCATAAAAATGTACTTTTATGACATATTTTGGCTTGTAGCCTAATTTCAATCCTCTTTCTTTAGGATTGAATTTTATGAAGGATAGGATAGGGAACTATTACCTTTCTGTGCGTCTATTCTACCATCGATTAGATGTAGGCAACGCATCTGCAATTGCGGATGTCTATGGACAGCGGTCGCTGCGCTATATCGGCGAACTTAGATAGCCGCTCGTTCATTTGCCACCTTATGATATTGAAAAAAAATATTGGCCTACTTGACCTTACAGTTATTTCTTTGATATTAGGCTAAAGTTATTACATAAGTCATATATTTAGTTCTTTAAAAGATTGTGTTTTAGTCTACTTCAGTTCAGTTTATTTAAAGATGAAAAATATTCGTTATATGAATTTATAAGTTATTGTTGTGTTTTTTATTGTATAATCCATTTTATCATGAAATTTAAAAAAAACACTACGTTTAGAAAAATCGGAAATAATTTAAATTACAATATTACGGATACGGAAACATATAAATGTGCAGGAAACTGACAGCTTTATATTTTTGTAGTTTGACAGGCATTCAAATGTAGCCCCAGGCTATTTTCAATATATTACTTACCATAAACAAATGTACTTACTTATAAACTGTTCCGGAACCCTCTTTTATCAACTGTAGCGATAAAAATCATAGGTATAAGGTAAAATAAAGAAAATAAAATGCGAAAAACAATCCTTAGCTGTAGCATGGCTTTTTAGGCATTTCGTGCAATATTAATCCTTTTTTTAAATACACTCTGTGGTACTTTTAATTACAATAACATAGTTCGCAAGGTTACTGGCTGATAGTATGCGTCACAATTCAAGTCAATCGCTATTTACTGTACCAAACTTGAGTTTGCGTTATTTACTAATAGATGGCGTTACTCGGAACGCGTTAACGGTTCAAGCAACCAAGTGTATATTAATAGAATTATCTTTGTCTATTTTTTATCTATAATTTGAGGAAATAGTAAAACAGTTTTTCAACAACCATAGTAACTTCTTATCATTATTTACGTCACAATGATTAGATTTTTTTCAATTATCATTACAGGTTAACTTTATAAATAAAATAACAATAAATTTTATTTTAATATTTATTTAATGATCATCTCTTAAACTAAGACAGGAAACATTTATAAAATAGCAGCTAATCACGATAATATGACAAACAGATCGATCTTTTTAAATTATTTTTTCTTTACCTCGCCTCTTCTTACGTAATATGAGTCTTCGTAACTCTTCTATAGATTATCTTTAAATACATACACACAACAAAAACATATTTTAAAATCAATATCTTTTATATTGCACGTTAATTTATTTATTACATCAAGGTAAATTATGTTATGCTTGTATTTTATTATAAAACGTAATTAGTTGTCAGGGTAATCAAAATAATGTTAAATGTAATAGTGCCACCAAAAAGGTTTGACATTTTTTGGAATACATTTGAATAATTTTAAAATTGGAAACATTTAAAAAAAGATAAATGCTTCGAAATAAAATGACTAAAATAGAATTTATTTAAAAATTAATTAAATTAAAAATGTAATTTTATTATTATTAATTTTTAATGTTGGATGTAAATTTTAATAGGTTACAAATTTATTGAATCAATTTGCAAAAAAATTATTTTATAGACCTATCTATTAGTTTGTAAAATATTTGTAGTGGTTTTGGTCTGGATTTTTCTAAAGAATGGTTGTTCTAAACGTAATAATTAATAAGGTACATCTTATAACATTTCTTTATCTTACAAGTACAATAGCAAAATATTTCAATTAAATGCATAATGTTTTTCACATAACATTTCTGCCTCATTCAGTATTATGATTATTCCTTTGTGACAAAACCCGTACCGAGTTAACGCTTACTCAATATGTTCCATGTAATTATTAAACGCAACAAGTACATTGCTCGCTATACGTTATAAGTAGAGTCAGACGTGAAACTCGGTAAGCAATGTACACTACATTAACTGACAATTTTGCAATTCTCATTTGCATGTTACATGATAACTATACGGAGATTGTATCGAATTATTCGATTATACCGGTTTCGTTCTTGTCCATTGGGAGTGAAAGGGACGACAAGCATAGTATAAGTTGGCGCGTAATGCCTCATCCACATATTTAGTGTAGTTAATTACAGATGACATTCTTTACAATTCCGAAGTCAACAATCGGGTAATGTTTATTCACCTGCTATGTATGTTATTTGGATTGTTTTTTTCAGAAAAAACTTGTATATAATGTATAAAAAGATATATGTGTACCCTTTATGTAATTGATTTGTTCAATATTCGAACTTTTTTGTTGTCTTAATATTGAATAATAAAATTATCGATATTTTAGGGTTACTAAGTTTACAAAATAAAAATAGAGGCTCGGTAATGAAATTATTTATTATTTTACAATAAAATCTCACGGCTCGCTTTCGAGCGTGTTCTTTGATCCATGTTTTTATACATTTTAAATATCTACCACGAAACTTTGGTCGTTTACTCGCGTATAAAATTTATTTTACGCCAACATAAACGTGGCTTATACATTCACTGCTTAATTTATATGTGTGCGTGTACAATTCATTTACTGAATACATTTTGGTAGTGATTCCGTTAAATCTAATGAACAATAACATCGTTCGGTCGTTTCACTACTCAGAAAAATTTTACATACAAAGCCTTTTTATTTGTAGGGCCTTTTTTAATTTCAAATATTTAACTAACAACTCGACCTTACAGGTTATTACATTGACTTTTATTTTTACTCATAAATTTTCTTATAAACAACGACCTTTTAATTGGACAATTTAAATTGACTGCAAAACACAGTCCACGCATACAAACGGAATTTCTAAACTGATATATAAACACGGCTAAACACTCACGTATATTCGTCCGGTGGCGGCACCGACTAGTTTCGAGCACATCTGGGGCCCTTCATCAGGATGAGTGGTACTGGTATTATTTCGCGGACGCGGCTCGTCGCTCATCCTGATGAAGGGACCCCGATGGGCTCGAAACTAGTCGGTGCCGCCACCGGACGAATATACGTGAGTGTTTAGCCGTGTTTATATATCAGTTTAGTATAATGTCTCACGAAAGTTTAAATAATTTAAACGGAATTTCATCGACCATTCAATTTCCATAGTATATGAGGCATTACAAGCACTTAATTATATAATACATTTTCCTTATCAACATACAAACGCCATATAAAAATCATACTACATATTTATTGGTACAGTGACGAGATATCTAAACGCACTACCGCCGGTTAAACGGCTTCAAAATCCGGTTAATCCGTATAAAATCGCCGATTTAGAAAAAGGATTCATTTTCTCAAGCGTTACTTTTTACAAAGCACAATGTCAAAAAAATCGTCAGATGGGGAAACTAGCACGAACATGACAAACAGTCTAGGCTAATATCACAGGAGTGCTGGGAACGGCGCGCCCCTGCCCGCCTCTCCCCTCCCACCGCACCGCGACCACCCCCGACGTGCCTACTTACTATACGGAGGGGGCAAAGCGGGCAACTACCGATATATTTTGCGACAATTAAGATTTCAATAGAAAAACGCAATTACTCGTCGAAGCATAGGTTGTATAGCCATCGCAAAAGATTATCCCATACAAACAATAAATTAACAATTACATAAACAAGTTACAATATAAATTGTTGCTACAGTATCAAAACGAAAAGCTATGTAACCATCGAACTTTATTAGATTTATCAACCGATTTAAATAAGGTATGGTAACAGGGCGTAAATTATAAGATAAGGTAACGTAGAAGCAAATAAGAACGTTCAACTCAAAACATAACAAAACAAATTAAATACAAAGAGTTGTTCGTCAAAATGCAATGCTTCATCAAACATTCGGCTGTTGGCCCTCAAACATTTGCCCTTGCCGATCTCCGCGAGTGAGGTCGCGAGCCTCACGAGCTGCCTTCGGCTTAACACGCGTCATAACTTCCAAAATACTCGCTTTTATTTTGTTTCATTATAACAACAAACTGGCGACGGTAGTGGCAGTCGCACGTTGCATGCGATGGCGATGGCCCACCGGGCGGCCGCCAGCCGAGCCAGGCGAGCTCGCTCACTCGCCGCTCAACTTTTACTTTCGAAGTTTGCGGAATGCGAGGAACAGATACCATTTGAAATATTAAACATAGCCATCTCTAACGCGACAACGCAAATAAAAGTTAAAATAAAATAATCATAAGAAAACGAGTAAAAAAACTATACGCTTTCGAGGCTCTCGCGACCGTTCCCAGTAATTTGCACTATCACTTATAAACTATTTACTTTAGTAATTATATAATATAATAATGTAACATTATGGCTTACAACTATATCTCCGATGTAACCCAACAACACTTCCTGGATTATTTCTCGTTCCCTTGCGTCCTGTGGCGGACGCTGCTCAGGGTCCTCCGATTGAACCATCATCGAACACTAATTGGAGCCCCCCGCGGCGGCGGCGCCTGAGCAACTTTCACTAAATAATAAAAAAAACATGCTAACAAAGTAAGTACTCTTCTTAGACAACAAAGAATTGGCTACACGTTGAGTGTCCGGGTGACGTGTATGCGCTGGTCGCTCATGGCGGCGAGGCGCCGTACGGAGCGCGACCCGGATCGCTCGGAGCGCACTCCGGGTCGTTTGGAGCGCGCACGTCCGGAAACACGGTCAACGTTTCGAGCGCGTTCGGCTCGAGCGCGTCTCATTCCGATCGCTGGCGTCACAGCGGCGAGTTGAGGTGCGTGGCGCGGCGCGGTCATGAGTCGAGCACGGTGAGCAGGCTGGGCGGCAGCAGTGGTACGTCCTGCCGGGGCAACTGACGCGCCAGTTGCGCGCACCCAAGGTTCGCGTCGCCCAGCTCCGGGATGGCGTCCAGTAGCGCGAGGCACTCGTCCTCCACCTCACGGCGCGCCTTCTTCCCCGCCCACGAGTCGTCGCACTCCTCCCGCGCACGACGCCGCCGCGCCTCCTTCTCCTTGCGCGCCTCCTCGCTCAGCCGGCAGTAAGTGTTATTGATGCACACCGACCGGCGGAGGTCGCGCGCCGGGTCCTCAATGTTCTCCAGCTTCTGCGAGCATATTTCGATGACTCGTTTACGCTCCTCGTTGGCCCGCAGCCTTGCAGAGATCATGGAGAGCTTGGGGCGCGCGGCGGGCTCTGTGCGCGGAGGACCGAACATCTCCTCCTCGAAGGCATCCGCGATCTCCACCCCGCGCGCGTTCTCGCGCTCCTCTTGTGGCGTCATTCTGTAACAATCATATCGACAAATTAGCACTCGTTAACTTACTATTCCCGGACGCTTTAAATTTACTCAAAACATTACCATCATTACGAGTGTATGTCGGCTAGGTAGTTTTAAATATTCTTATAACAATAGAAATGAAAATCCAAGGTATCGATAATAGTTTATATTCTTAACAATTTTATTAAATATAATGGGGAAAATCTGTTAGAGTAAATTAAATGACATAATAAAGAACAAAGCGATGAAGACAAAACGGGTCATGATACGCAATCCGATAAGTGAACAACCTCACAATAAATAGACATCAAGATATTAATACGCACCTCGAAGTTAATTCGGAGGAGAAAATAAAAAATCCGGACATGTACATTATTGCAATCAAATTAATGTAATTATTATTCTTAATAATATTCACACCAATGTCACAAGTTTAAAACACTAGCACCGAGCAGCGAGCGATTCGTCGTCTCGTCCTCGACGATAAAAAAGTATAAAGGCAAAAGTGAAACAAAAATAAACCGCGCGAATGTAACGACGTGTGCGCAGCGCGACGGTCACTCGGCGAATGACAGTACACCTCGCTGTAGATAAGACATTGAAAAAGCCAATTGCGTCATTTGCTACGTACGTGTGGAGAGGAAACGGGTGACGTCGGCCGTAAACCGTCATTTTCGACGCTATTGACTGTCATGACTCGATCTATTTGTTTACGACACAAAAGCTTAAAGGTGGCAAATCCATAAAATTATCCACGGCTAAGATGGTAAAAAATAATGGACATCACAGCTTGATACTGTATTCATATTTCTAAGTGCAAACATGTCGTTTGTCAAGGCACCGTAGCTCTTTGTTTACAAGAAGCTAAGCGCACTGATCTATAAAAACAATAACACAAATAATTCATCAAATTACAGCTCAAATTATGACGCGTAAGATTTTTTATCTGGTACGCCATAAATTGCAAACATGACTTACATAACGTCGGTTTAGGAAATTTAGTGAAACTATTCAAACATCGGCTAAAACTGTTTGATACATTGAAAATTATAATTTAAAACTATAATTACTGAGCTTAAACATTTTTTAATATTGTAATTAACATATTACATTCCGGCCGTTTATTAGACTTTTGTTTAATTAACCGACATTAAGTGTTAATGACCGGTATGATACTGATCAGAAAAGCCATTTAAGTATAAATAAAAAATAAATTAGAAACAAAACGTACCATATTCAAAATCCTAACATGTGTACTACATTATTGCGTCTCTCTCTTTTTATATGAAAATAACAGAGATAAAAGTACGACCATACTTGAAAGAATAACATCTTACATCTACATAACATAATATTAAGATGTGTAAATGTGTATTATGAGTGATTTTAGATCAATCACGGGACAGAGCAAAAAGACTACGCTGACTCACAAATGAGAATTCATCTTTTGTATATTTAGAACTGTGAGCAATTACAGCCGATGAATTTGTCACTTTACATGTTTTTCATACAGACACTATAACAAAATAATTAAACGCGTACAAGATTTGCAGTATTAAAAATAATTAAATATATATTTTGTTTGTGATTTCGAGCCTCGTATAAGATATAATTTGACCTTTAACTATTTCTAATTTCGCATTGTTTTGTTTAGAAAAATATCGTATAAAAGCTTGTGGAATTTAAAACTTTAATTTCTATCAAATTTTTTTCTGCAAAAAGTTCGTTAAATTTATTGGAATTTAATTTAGAATCCGGTTTTTTTTACTGGACTAAAAAATATTGGATACAAATAATTCAAATTATGTAACAAGCAATTAATTTAATAGTAACTTAACAATTTTTTTAGTCTAGATTTCTCTAAATATCTAATTCTATGTCTATAACACTTCCTAACCGTTGGCTTCTGATATCAAAATCTGTGTATAAAACATATAGTCATCCCTGTCAATATCTTTGACAAAACGGAGATAACAACATGTTTTAATTGGGGATTACGGTCTCAGAAACCCACAGTTAGTAACGTTTAAACTAGTAAAATATGACTTATAAGATTGATCAATTTGAACTTGATTATGAAACTGAATAAAAAGCGAACAAACAATATAAACTCGCTTAAAAGAAATACTTGATTGAATAATAAATGAAAAGTTGCCTTTCAAGAACAAAGGGATAATATTGAGGGCACTTGACGTTTGACAATGCCCCTACAAAGCTTTCCGTAACATTACGAAATTACCAACAACCAACTGTTACCTAATAAACTGTTTTGTAACTATTAAGATTTAATATAAGTATGTTTATTGGCGCTATGTTGCCGGAAGATCTTTTGACACAAATGCAAGTTTTAATTTTACGGTTCAAATTATTTTTTTTTAGATTTCTAATGGTATTTATTCATTTCTAAAGTCCGTAAATTATTATGTTATTGGGTGTCGTTTTTCCGATTATTCAATTTCGTATTTAACAACGAATATTTTTATAACAAACAACTTGTTTTAAATTCACAACATGTTTCTTCAAACATGTTAAGATCTCTTTAATAGCGATCGCAGTTAACTATGAACGTGTCGCTTTTTTGAAACAACTGTTTACTTAACGTTATAGCCGTATTCGAAAACGTTTTACAACTAAATTCCGTTGTTTTTCCTTCTTCTGTTACGTTATTTTGATAAAAATGAACGCAGCCAAACTTTGTCAATGATTGTTATTTCATATTTCTGGTTCTTATTATTTATACAATCCTTTTTATTATTTAACTTATACCGGTAATAAGTAAATTAGTTAGTTATAAGTAATTTTACATTTACGATAAACGTCATTTGACCTCTTTTGTGCGCAATACAAGGAAAACAGACAAAGGTAATCATGAATGACGCTCTATGGTTGCGATGATTCGAATTTCGAACGACATAGACAAAGTTTTTTTTCGGTATGTAGCGCGCGATGACATCGACGGGTGTTGCCGACCTCGGGCGGTTACGATCCAATAAATCTTGCCCGACTCGACTTTGACTACCTGCACTTTCTTTTCTCTGTCTCACACGAGCGCGCGATGGCGTATTGAAACGATTCAAAAATCGTCATGATTCTTTTGAAGACACTTCCCTCATGCCTTTTTTGTCTAAGTAGGTAGAGTTTACGAATGCGTTACTCCAGCATGCGTCATACACTATGGCCGACTCAAGTAACCTATTTAAAAGCGCAATAACATGCTTATCAAATATAAATTAAAAAGAGACAAACATTTAATCAAAAGTAATTACGAACTTATTTCTATATTTTCTCCTGAATTAAAATAAAATGCATTTATTTCGCAATAGAGACGATGATCTTGTATATCTCAATAACATGCGAAATGATGACGTCACAGAATTACCCAGTTCAATTGCATCATTATAATTAACAGTACTGGCTGGTGACACTACGTAACGGCAAGGCAACTTTTTATCATACTGAAATATCACAACTATATACTAAATTGCGAGAACTTGGGCGATTATAGTATCAATATTATTTTTAAATTTTATTTATTCTCTCTTCTATTAAGCAAAATTATGTTACGATTATAATAGCACTTTGATAGAAGTGTTAGGAAAATAACAATTTATGGTACAACGAACTTATGTGGCCTGTAAAAGAGCAGCTATAATCAAACAAGGATATCTGGCCCGATGAGAAAGGCGGTGCTATCACGCTTAGTTCTAATATCAATGACATAAAATGGCATAAATTAAAAGAAGCATGACGTAAAGTAAGAAAAAGATCTTGTGGCACATTTTTGATAAGGACAGACGGGCGCTATCGTAATTTAGTTTCACTTATTTCCACCGGGTCGGATAAGTTTATCGAATTATAACATGTCTTCAAGCCGCCAGTATATAACCTACATGCGTAAAATCAAACTATGATATTCTAAACAAAGAGACAATGCGTTCACATGATCAAATGCACGTACGCAAAACGAGTAAGTGACGATTCTCATTTGTGCAATTTATCAATGCACAAGGTAACTCGTATGACCAATTTGGAGGAAAAAGAGACAAAATACTAATACCACGATGACTCAGTGGTTATCGACTTGATAATGTTTAGGGTTCAATGCCAAATTACATTAATTCTGTTACGATAAAAATTAAATTTAAATAACTATTGAGTTATAGCCAATTCTGTTTATAACATAAATAAATTCTGCCTTAATTACATTTTAGTTATATTATAAACGCAATTGTTTGGATGGATGTTTGTTAAAAGGTATCTCAAGAAAGGTTGCACGAATCTTTTGGCATAGATATAGAACATAGCCTGGAAGATTTATGCTATTTTTTTTTTAAATTCCGCGCGTACAGTACACGTAAAGAAATAAAAATTGTTGTCTTTCTAACACATATTTATCTATTAAACTGGTTAACAAAGATATGAATGAATAATAAAATAGTTAAATTATTCAATTTAAGTAAACCTATCTTTTAATATTTTATTGTCAAAGGCTTCCCTAAACTTGAAATAAAACGTTTGAGGTCGCATTTGTTTAATTCCGTTATCTATTTGTTTAGTGACCTTTGTTGGATCACAAAGATCAAATAGTCGGAATAAACAAAAAGTTTTTTTTTAAACTTCTTTGTAAACGCGTCCAAATAAAATCAACCTAATAGCACCGCCAATGAATTCTAATTAACTAATTACAACGCAGTCGGCTTCAGTACTTATGTCGAGTTTTATCTAGGCCCGTCTTTTTTGTTGCCACATCGCCTTAAAAGGTTATGAAGATTTAAAAACGAGGTTTTATTGTGAGGCTTTGGTTTTATCAAGATGTCCTAAAAAATTAAAGCTGATGTTTTGTTGTATTTCTTTACATTTTTTTTAATTCTCACGAACAAAGAAATACGACAAAATGTGTTTGGTCTTTTTAATATTTTCAATTATAATTTGCAATTACAGCATTTCTATTTCACTTAAAAAAAATTGCGGCAAGTGTAAATAATAATAAAGCTAAACATACAGGAAATTAAATTAAATAGTGTCATAATAACAAAAATGCCATAAAACATAATTTTATTTCTTAATAAAGATAAAATAAAACGCATAGCGTGCAACATAACCTCTTTGAGGCCGCGAGTTTTCAAGTCTGGTTTTGTTTCGGCGCAACGACCGACCGAGACGACCCAATCCACCAAATGGAAGCATCGCTCTCAGTTTTCGTATCCATACATCCCGGTTTTGTAATTTGAACGGTTTTTATCGACCCTAAGATGTTTAATTACACGATTATACCACATAAGGACATTGTTAGTAACGATAACTTTCGTTCTCATTAAAAAAAAAAACATTCCCCTTAAAAATAAAACCTTTTTGATGGCTTTTTAATTTGTAAATTAGGCATAAAAATTTGCTCGTAATTCAATTTAAATATATGAACATTAAAATACAATAATGCGTAGTAATTCTAATAAAATCAATACTAATTACATCGTTAAACTTTAATTATATTAGGTGAGGAAAGGTGACCCTTTCCACCTGTTGGTAGACCATAGACAAGTCACCCATAAACACCT